CCCCCCCCGCTGGGCTGTGCTTACAGACAGAGGCCAGTAGGGGTCACCCACAGCCCACAGCCCAAGCACCGCAACCAGCAAGGCCCTGACACTACATCATACATGCTAATCACGAGGCATGTAAAACGCACACAAACTCACTTGTGCCAACACCGGTCTGTGCAAATTACACGCACGAGTATAAACCACGCGCCCAGACTCACCTACGCAAACACAGATGTGCAAATTATGTCCCCACGTGTGAACCTCGCACAGAAACTTGCTGTGCAAACACAGAGAAGAGGCCACGCACAGACAAGCCACGCTCATGGATGCCCACGGACCACGCCAGCATGCTATCACATGCCTGACATGGGTTCACACACATGGCAAGACATGCCGGGAGGGGGGCTGGGCTGCACCCGCGAGCTCTGGGTGCTCTCGAGGGACCCAGGGGCCCGACCCCAGCCCCGGCCTGGGAGGGACACCCCGCTCCCCACACCTGTGGGATACGGCTCCTCCGCCAAGCTGTGCTCGCACTCCTGCTGGTACTGCCTCCAGGCTGCGTACGTGTCCTTGGCTGTCTTCTCCGAGGAGCTCGCCTGCAACGGGAGGGGGTCCAAGGCAAAGGGCTCGGAACGGAGCTGTGTGGGGAGTGGGGCAGAAGCTGGCTGTGAGGGGAGCCCCTGGCTACTCCAGCCCCAACCTCTCCCAGCAGGGGGCGCTGTTGGCAGCAGGGCAGACCCTGGCTGTGGAGGGAGTCCCCGGCTACTCCAGTCTCATCCTCTCCCAGCAGAGGGCGCTGTAGGGAGCAGGGCAGACCCTGACTGTGGGCACTCCAGCCCCGGCCTCTCCCAGCAGGGGGCGCTGTAGAGAGCAAGGCAGATCCTGACTGTGGGTACACCAGCCCCCCCGCCTCTCCCAGCAGGGGGCGCTGTAGAGAGCAAGGCAGATCCTGACTGTGGGTACACCAGCCCCCCCGCCTCTCCCAGCAGGGGGCGCTGTAGAGAGCAAGGCAGATCCTGACTGTGGGTACACCAGCCCCCCCGCCTCTCCCAGCAGGGGGCGCTGTAGAGAGCAAGGCAGATCCTGACTGTGGGTACACCAGCCCCCCCGCCTCTCCCAGCAGGGGGCGCTGTAGAGAGCAAGGCAGATCCTGACTGTGGGTACACCAGCCCCCCCGCCTCTCCCAGCAGGGGGCGCTGTAGAGAGCAAGGCAGATCCTGACTGTGGGTACACCAGCCCCCCCGCCTCTCCCAGCAGGGGGCGCTGTAGAGAGCAAGGCAGATCCTGACTGTGGGTACACCAGCCCCCCCGCCTCTCCCAGCAGGGGGCGCTGTAGAGAGCAAGGCAGATCCTGACTGTGGGTACACCAGCCCCCCCGCCTCTCCCAGCAGGGGGCGCTGTAGGGAGCAGGGCAGACCCTGGCTGTGGGGAGAGCCCCCAGCTACTCCAGTCCCATCCTCTCCCAGTAGAGGGCGCTGTAGGGAGCAAGGCAGATCCTGACTGTGGGTACTGCAGCCCCGGCCTCTCCCAGAAGGGGGCGCTGTCGGCAGTGGGGCAGAACCCAGTGGCGGTGCAGTATTGCACCACAGCGAGGGGTGTGGCGTGGGGGGAGGCCCTGAGCTGCGTGCCAGCCAAGGAGAGCGGGGGGGGGGCGTAATCTTACCTCGGCTGGGC